CCGATATATCGAACCGTACTCAGGGTACCCTCCGATAGTACCCTGGGTGACATATAGTCCCTCTCAGCATTAGTGCGGCTAATAGCCTCTAACTTGCGCCACGCTGCTCGCTTATATATGGGACTTGATATCGGAAATACAGAACAGACCTCTTCGCATAGACAATTAAATTGTTACATAGGATTTTTTTTATAATCTGAAGCTATTCTAGGAAGCGCTATTCTAGAATAGAGTCAGATTGAGAAGATTTCTAGAGTGCAATCTATTGGTCTAGCCTTCGCCCTACTGTAGCACAACGTGTCGAGGCTGTAAGACGGAGAGACTATAGCGGTTCTCCGGTGTTCTGTACCGCGTCAGCGTAACACGAGTGCACTCCAAGGTCAAATCGTAAGTCAGGCTTGTTTTCTAAACATGGGCTAGAGACGTTGGCACGCGCGCTACACCCCATAGCTCAGCCTGTGTGCATGTGGGCTGCCAGCACGCCTATGATTCACGCGTTCATACAAGCGACCGGGAATGAATTTATTTTTACTAGAAACTAAGACAAGAGTAGATAATAACTATTATAATATCTACTCTTGACTAAGATCGTATACAATTGTATACGCTTTTGGCTATAAGCGCAACATGAGTGCGTGCGCAAGCGTGCTTGCCGCCGAACTTCGGCTAACGCTCCATTAGGAGTGTTCCCAACTTTGATATCATTAATGATTAATGATTAATTATTGATAATCCTAACCCTAACCCTAACCCTAACCTAAATGACATTAAACCACAAACTAATATGATTTTAACTATAAACAATATATATGTTATTATGACCATTAATGACATTAAAGTTGGGAACACTCCTAATGGAGTATCACCCCGAACTGAACTTCCGATTTGACTGTACAGCCCTGCATGATACTTAATTACTTATTAACATTCGATGCGTGTCCGCGGCAGTTTTTTTTGCTCCACTTGATTAGCCTCCTCTTCGTGTCCGCTTTCTCCATGCTAAACTTATAACTTTCCATAATATTTATAATGGCCAGGTTAAGATTGATTGATGAAGCCTGTTCGTATGCACTCGATTATCTGAGCGTGATCATTGCTTTCGGCTCATGCCCCGGCATTTCGGCAATTTATAAGAATTCGTAACCGTGCAGCCGCAATACAGCCAGCATGCACCCACATCTACAGATGATGCTTTCGCCATATACGGGCTAATTTATCAGCCACTAGCCAGCTGCCGATCTGCTGTTTCCCTAATGAGACATAACATCATGCAACCTATTCGATGTCCAACGCACTATATAACCCAGACGGAGATGAAGAAGTCGTTAGAGCAACACTGCATGCAGATTCTTATTGGCGCATAAATTGTGTCAATTTATATACCCTTGCCCGGAGAGGATATAGAACTAAGAAGAGAATATGTTCAGTAAAGGATAACAGAAACACAAAAGGGTTTAGAGGACGAAACCGTAGCATGTCTTAATTACCATCCGAGTTCAGATCGCTGGTATTTCCGTCGTAAACTACAACGCACATCTGGCATTCCAACTGCGTGTCACACGGTGGTACAAACTCCACCGAGTCCGTCTGCAATTAATCGAAGGTGCGCATCGATTAGCGCAATCAATGAGAACTACACGCGCATAGCGATGCATACGTACACGCGCTCGTTTACATGCAACGTGCTTTGCATTATTTTTTATGGCTTCCGAAAGTTTTTGCCATGGCCATCAAACTCAATAAACACACGATGCAGCAAACCAAAGATTTCGTTACTAACCTGGAGCACATTCCGCGCGGTTATTATGTGATCCTCCGCATATGCAATCTTATCTCGGGCATCTAAATAAAATTCGATTGTTAACTAATGCTTGTTATGCAGCCATATGTCAATATTATTGCAACACATTATTGGTAACCAATAGCTATTTAAGTTTTCAATATATAAGAAAACGTTTGTATTTTTTGTACAGCTCGTGACTACGTTTTGGTTTAGGCTTTAGAATTATGTGTAAATTTTTAACTTATTTGTTACTACAAGTATGGTGTTAGAATTCATTATAAACATACCCAGTAATAGAAGATAATTCGGGTTACTCAAGTATACAAACCGCCCTTCTTGGTTAATATAGTTGAATAAATCGGTTAGTTCTACTAAAGTCACTTCCGATTGTAATTTCATGATGACTAAGCTAATGCTAATCACTATTGGCAACAGTCTCCTCAGAAACGGCTAAAACCCGCGATATTGTAAAATCGATGCTATATATTTTAGCCAACAGGTGGCAGTAATGGGAGGCCAAAATGGCTGCTGCGTGTACCCGAGTTACGCATCAGTGTAGAATATTACTAAAAACAGTTTCTAAACAAGGGCAAAATTCTCGGAGACTTGGAACAAGGTAGGTTATAATCCATAAATGGCACTGGTATCGTTGATGCCAATGATATTGTCAGCACCGCTTGTGGGAACCAAAGCTAAAGGTGTGTCGTAATCCTGCAGAGTCTAGACTCTAGTCTAGGGTCACCGCCAAGCGGCCAAGCTAGTACTAGTAGTAGTACGGGTAGTACCTAGTAGTAGTACTAGTAGTAGTACGGGTAGTGCAGATAAGGTCTATGTCCCCCTGACCTCTGTTTGACCTGGCTCGTTTAGCTATTTCTGACTAATATATATAAGGTTACGGTTAGTCAGAAATAGCTAAACGAGCCAGGTCAAACAGAGGTCAGGGGGACATAAACCCTACGAGCCACAGGCACAGGCACTTGGAATGTCTCAATAAAACAAATTAAGGGTAAATAAACACGAAATGTACCAAAGTCTTAATGTTTCTCTACTCTATTTCGCCTATAAGTATAATCACCTGTAAATGCCAGTCAAATGCTCATCTGCAACACGCAAGTACACCGCACGCCCGCACTGTGCACAAACAACATGAATAAGAGAGCAGGTAGGAAAGTGTGATCACAAAATTCGCTCAACGCTCGCTTCATTTCACACCTTCACAGCGCAAATACACATCCAACAGCTTCCATCTTGGTATCCATGTGTACATAAATATGTTCACTTGTTCGAATTATAACGCTGGCCTTTGTTCATACCTACTCCCGCCAGAGATATCTCGTGAAATCCTGCAGGAAATGTTCTAGGCAGCTATCCGCGCGCTATAGTACTAGAGCTAGTTCATTACTTGATAGAAGCAACAATTTTCTCTAGCCTTAGTTATATATTGATTACTAAATCTATAACTTTCAATTTATAGCAGGTTAACAGAAGTAGGGAAACTTGTATTGCCGAAACCAGAAGCAGCTAAATATGTTACTGGAGAGGTAAGTAGATGAACACATAGTACATCATTATCTGGTAATGAATTAACCCTCTAAGCTGTGTTTCCGGATTTTCACGAGACATAATTTTTGTGGCATATTATTTCAGTTTTTTAGTTAGCTATCATAATGTCCTTTGTTATATTTATTTTACAAGTATACAATTTTCATATATAAAAAAATTACATCATTGATCATATATAACAAAATGACATCATTACATGGACGATTCCTCACACAAATTTTTGTCTTATTCTGTAGCTGTTTCTTCACAAAGTGTTTGGGTACAGAGGAGTAATTCTCTTCCCATGGGAGGCACGGGTGTATGACAGAGATGCACAGAGTCAGGAAAGGTGAGGCCCCTGCGTGATGTAGCATGTATGTAAAATAACTTCTCATTTATAACAGCAGCTTCATAAACTCTACATGCTTTATGAATAAATTAAGAGTGTGGATCCTTAAATATATGCTTCTAAATATTTGTTACCTTGTTTAAGGCCCCCCACTAGTGGTTCATATGCCGGACAGGAAGTTAAAAGCAAGACACACTCCTACTACCAAGTATTGATCGACAGCCGGGACAGTCCATATATTGTGAGCATGAGTGGTATAACCTGTTAGAGAGAGAGAGAGAGAGAGAGAGAGAGAGAGAGAGAGAGAGAGAGAGAGAGAGAGAGAGAGAGAGAGAGAGAGAGAGATGGGCATATATATATGAAATGTACATTTGTACTGTTCACGCAAAATCGTTTCTAAAAGAAATTTAGTTGCCAGTGTTGTTAATGTTGATACAACAGCATTAAATGGTTCTTTCCCTTGTTGTACTTCAGCGAGCACAAACAGAGGCTGTGACGTTTCTAGGTAACCAAGACAACAGCAGGTCTTTGTATGCCATACCAGGTGAGAGATTTCAGCATACCTGTCCACTACTCATCTTAGCAGCCAGGATGATTGCTATTGAACACTGCAAATATGTCAAAATAATTGTGGCTAAAATGTAATTCTTACTATTCTTACTACTAATGTGAACTGGTAAGTTGTTGAACTTATAATATACAGTATCAGGAGCATTGACAGACTCCTGACAGTATTATGCTTATAAAGATTGAAATATTTGTGTAGCAAATTAATCAAAAATTATTGTTTACAACCCCACTTCTTTCCAAAATGCTGGGTTGATCACCTAACAACAATATACCTTTTAAAGATGTTGTGAAACGTATGTATAATATAAATGTGTCAAAAAGGTATAGATGCTCTAGATAGACTGGTATTATGCCTGGAACTTATACTGGAAAATAGTTTCAAAGTGTTTACTTCCAGTCTAAATCTGCTGACTTTTTCTCTGTTACAGGGTTAGATTATGTAAGCCACGATGACATTTTGCCTTATCACACGACAGAGAAAAAGCCTCTTGTCCACGAACTGTTTGATCGATTTCTCGTACCCACAGAGGAGGGCAGTGGTTAGTATTTGGTGGTGATTCGGGCAGTACAGAGATGAAGAAACACTATGTAATGCACATGTTCACACATGCCTTCCACCCTGGGTATTCAGCCATCTCTCACACTTTCCTTACCCCCACAGCCATTTCTCACGCCTCCCCCATCCCCACAGCCATCTCTCATGCCTCCCCCACCCCCACAGCCATCTCTCACGCCTCCCCCATCCCCACAACCGTCTCTCACTCCTCCCCCACCCCCACAACCGTCTCTCTCTCACGCCTCCCCCACCCCACACGCCTCCCCCTCCCCCATGCAAATATTCGCTCTGCGCACGTTTCCACCCACGTTCTGCGTAATCGGCTCGTGCTTGTTTACCTGCAGAGACGCAGTTCACGATGCGTGACACACTACGAGCGTGGCAAGATAAGAATCATCCGTGGCTAGAGCTGTCCGACGTCCACAAGGAGACGACCGAGAATATCCGAGTCACTGTCATCCCATTCTACATGGGTTCCCGAGTGAGTTGCGATGTTAGCAGCAGCCAGTATACCTTTGTACTTCAACGAATTCAGCGTGCAGGGTAAAAAATTAGGGTCGAAATTGAGAAAAAAATTCTACTTTTTTGTTAGAAAGTTGGTCGTCAAAATTTACTTTTCCGACACAGGTTTTAAGATTTTCTAGGTAAAATAATTCACCAGGTGCATGACTGCTATTTCTAGCCACAAGTTTATGTACTGTCTCACACTAGAGCATGTATTTATCAAGGCTAGTTAACATATCAACAAAAAACACTGAGGGATTGGCTGTTTTGAAAAAAATGTTTTTCTCCAAAATCTTCCACAGCAAAAGTGCAATTTCATTTTTGTGGTAGCCTATCTACTTGTCCCGAAAAATTGGAAATATGTTCATTTCTACCCTTGACAGTGCTTGAGCATTCGTACCAAAATCTTTTTTGTTTGGCCGGGGGCTTTTTACCACTTGGCGTGAGCAGTGGACATGAATAATGTGAAATAATGGTACTGACTATAAATAATTATATTAAATCTAGCCCAATGCAGTCTCATTGGGAAATTTACCCTTTAACGCTTAATAAATGACTGAATTATGCGTGCCGGCATGTATTCTCATGTTATCACGCTTGTCCTTGTGTTACAGGAAGCTCAGAATACTCATGTGTACTGGGTAAGTACCTGTAACGTTTACTGTGTTATATTTCCAGATTAAACCAATAACACTGCTTTGTCTTTATGCTGTTTATTTACCCGCCATAATAAGAGCCTCGATTGCAATAGCTCATCTCCTACACCAACTCCATCTACCGACTGTAATTAGTATCAATTGGAACACTAAATATATGGATGGGTTATACACTACAGTACCTACTTACTCTACTTCATATGACATCACAAAGAAATCTGCATCCTTGTTGTCCTATTCACGTTAAAACTTGTCTCATGGTTCGACTTGTTAACCAATTGCTCAATAACTCGTTATTCATTCGTTAGTTGATTTAGTTCGCCTACTAATTATTCATGAGGTGATCAGTCCCTATAGCTAAGGTTTGATGATTGGCCAGTCGTTTATTATTTCGCTCGTGCGTGGCTTTATTCTAGTGGCGATATTGCATCCGACTGGAGAATCTGGGCGATGAAGTCGTACAGCTGAGAGAGCGGCACTGGCGCATATTCAGCCTATCTGGCACGCTGGAGACGGTGCGAGGTCGCGGGGTCATCGGACAGGTACATGATGACATCCAGTGAAAAAAATACACGGGGGCTCGGGGCGATTTAGCCCCCGAAATGCCAAAAATAGCTCCGGAAATGCCGAAAAATAGCCCCCGTAAATTTGCATAGAGTTCAATGCAAACCAAATTTTAGAATGCTATTTTCATGCACGCGAGCTTGAAAAGTAGCCCCCGAAAAATAAATTATATTTTTTTCCCCGATGACATCACCACCGCTGCAACCTGTGCAGTCAGCTGCTGGTGTTCCGACATCTACACGCGATAATGAAGATAATTAGTTCGAAAATCTTAATTGAGGGGCTATTGTTCAGAAGTCGGACCTCGAGTGAAAGAATCCATCATTAGTTTGTCAGGTCACCGCAGGTCGCATTTCGTATGTAGCATTTCGTTAATTTCGAAAATGAACAATGGCACATCTTTCCATAATCTGGAGTCGGGGATGTAGTTAGTTGATGATAATTATTGCACGTGTGCAGCACTTTGGAATACGAACTGATCAGACGATGTAGTCTTGAAATATTTCTGAACTCTGCCTTGAGGTTTTCCGCTGCTACCACCTACTACTGCAGCTATCGCTGGAAATACACGTGTGTACAGTAGTTTGGTGAGTGAGAGAACAGAGCCAGAACGATGTCAGTGAATGTGTATCGCATGAGGAGTCCTCGCACGAGTGTTCGATGTATGTCGTTGCATTACAGGAACCACTACTGACAAAACAGCAGTCGGCCTTCCAGTATAGCAGTCACGTATCATTACAAGCGCCAAGTGGTCACATGTGGTGAGTTAACCAGTTTCACAGTCAGCTTTTGAAGTAAATATCACTCCGTTGGCACGTTTAAAATGGCCTCAATACTTAATGCTGTGGTATCGCTGTTAAAATAGTAAGCAGAACGTGAAACTAGTTTGGATGAAGGGCGTCGGAACTGTCGCGGAATTTTTTTCAGGCCATAAATTTTCCGTAACCAAAACCTTTCAATAATTTATACCGGCCTTTTGGCCCGGCACAATACCATCATGTAGTATACGTGTATCTAGGCCCCTAATAAGCGGACGAACACAGGGTCAGATGAGTCAGGTCAAGCGGCGTGTACGGGGGGGGGGCGCCAGGGTCCAGGACCCCCCTGCTCAGCGCGGGCAGAAACTCATCTGAGGGGGTCTAATTTCAAAATTTCCTTGCCCAAGACTCCCCCCTTCGCGTGCTCGGCAAGTATAGTCTTAGGCGGTTAGCCCCCCCCCCCCCCCCCGCGGTCCAAATCCTGTACACGCCCCCTGCAGGTCACCTGTAGCTATAAAATTTTATGATCCAGAACTCTGGCACACATTCCTCTGCTCCCCGTCTACTCCTGATTCTATGCAGGCAGCATGCCGTTGCGTTATATTGAGGGAGCATGCTTTGCCCGGGGTCACGCTAAATCACAATGCTCAGAATGCACCAGAGCCCACCATTTGCCATGTAGATTAAAAAATTTTCACGGGGGATGGCATGCCCCCAGACCCCCCTAGGATGGCTTCGCCTCCCCGGGGCTCGCCCTATAAGCCAAAGCCGCGGCACTATTTTATTGCTTCTGACGCCTTTGGTTTGGATGGAGTTGTCCTCTAAACCTAGTGCATGTGAATTCTGTGCATAGAACTTTCTGAGTGAGAACTGTTCTATTGCACGTATGGATACAGCACAGGACAATTTTGATGCCATCTGCAGTCACATTTTGGCCATAGTATTCAGTGTTTGATTCGAAAAACCAATACTAACCAAACCGTGGCATTGCTAATGATATAACTAAGATTGTCATATATCTGTGCTTCTTTTATTGTAGGGGAACTTTCCGTATGGAGAGACAGGATGGTTATTCCTTTGACTGTAAGATCCCTCCTTTCTCACTAGAAAGCAAAGAAGATAGTTCCTCGTCAACACCTACAAACTTTACCTGAGAGTACCATCTGTTACTTGTAAGAGAGTTTATGATACTACCTGTAAGAGGTTTTCTCGGTGCTGCAGCACAAGCTGGGAATGTTTTATGCATAATTATTGTAACCTGCGCGCAAAGAATTTCTTGAATTCACGAGCAATATGAAACTGACTATATTTTAACCTTATCACTGTTATGTGCTGATTTCACGTAGACTTAGCTGCAAAGTTATGTTGCTGTTAAATGTCGGGGCTATGAACATTGTCGAGCATGTCTTGCGCTCATGTTTCATGTGCTATCTCACAAAGGATTGCAGGTCTCGGCTGCTAATGGCTGCTGTGTTTAACACATCAAATAGATTAAGAACAGATCATGGTTGTTGCAATCTGTTTGTGTGTGTATTTATGGAATAAAAATATGTAAATTGTGGCATTGATCCTGCTGTAGATGAGCCATTTGCTATCGTTTTCATAACCTTGCATAAAGATGTAGACGCTAATTATGATTAGTACAGTTATTATTAATAAGCCTTAATAACATGTTAATGAACGATAAAGGCTACATGTGGCTACGTTAGTAGGGGTAGCAGGGCCGTAGCCTGCGGGGGGCAAGGGGTGCAACTACCCCCCTAGATTTTGGAGCAAAATTAAAAAAAATTGTTCTACTAAAAGAGAATTGTTGTAGTCTGAATGAAGGCCGTACATGTACTCAAAAGTGCCTCAAGAGTCAAATACCACCTCCTGCGATCTACATTTTCAAAATTTTTTGGGGGAGGACCCCCAGACCCCCCACCTATTACTCACCCCCTCGAAATCCTGGATCCGTCGCTCCTCCCTCCCTCCCCCCCTTAAGCATTTGCTCAGCCTACGGCCCTGGGTAGTCTTATGGTCGTTTCAACTTTTGTGTGACAAAGTCTTACTGTAATCGATACAAAATTGTTTATTTACAATTACTTATTATCTGAAGTGGAGATGCTTGGTTTTTGTAATAGGGTGTGTGATGTGTGAATCATACATAGTTCAGCTATTGATGATGGGGTACGTAAAACACGTTTAAGATATGTTGGATTAAAGCATTTAAGTTATATTTCTGCATTTTACAGATGAAACAGTTCGTCATTAGTTTTGAGATACTATAGATACTAATTTAATTGTTAGATTACAGCAAATTATTTTCGTTCTTCTTTAAATTGAAAATCAATTATCCTATATCAGATCTAGTATTTTTGAGATTTATAAACTTTGGTAAAGTATGAATCAGTATCCACTACCTTTAAATCGTTGTATAGTTTTGGATTGATAGTATTTTAGCAATATAACGTCGAGTACGACTTGATGAAAACACAAGATTTGACATTTACTGAATCATATAATCTACTAACTCAATAAAATCTACCTCATTAGTTATGCTTTACATTTATCTAACTGTGATTTTTCATTGGTTATAACAACTAATGTACTATCCCTATCCTAGAGTAGAGGTATGGTTCTAATTCTACTCTGGGGAATTACGATTATTATATTATTATTAAAAAATAATAAATAAAAACAATTTTCCCTTAGCAGGATTCGAACCTGTGACCTCAATGTCTCTCTGAGCCCTAGCTATGATGGTCACGAAGCTATATCCTCTAAAGAAATCAACAAAAATCAACTGCGCGATAGGATATTGCATAGCGCCGTGGATATAATGCTAGGGGTAGAGGAAAGAAGATAGATGACAGGTTCAAATCTCAGTGGAGTATATATAATCATAGATATACACAACACCTTGATATAATCGTAGATATAGAATACATAACTGTATTCTATATATCTATGATATAATTTTACGTTTATTTTTTTTCATTTAATTATTTTAATTCCTAATGTCCCTTATATCCCTAATGTCATTGTGTTTGTATATAATATCTATATAT